CCCAAGACACAAATGTGGGACCGATGTTCATCTCCTTGAGTACGTCGAAGAGAAAGCCTTGGTCAACCATATCGTATGCCTTGGAAAAGTCGAGAAACGTCGCGTAGTAGTCGTGGTCTTCATTGGTACAGAAAGTCTGCAATGCTTGTACCAGCATCACGTGGTCGTGCAAGCGACGGCCAGGGACAAAACCAGCTTGGCTTGGGTGAGCGAGGTATGGGGCAACTTGTGCAAGACGGTAGGCCAGCGCCCGCGATAGAATCTTGACTTCAACCGACATGAGAGTAATCGGCCGATAGTTGCCAGGGTCGCCTCTGTCTCCAGCCTTGAACAAGAGCGCCACTGCACTTCGGCGTTGTTGGAGCAGGAGGTGACCGTGATGGGTGAGTTGGTAGTTGAACACCTTGAGCAGGATTTGGGCGAATACGTCCGGGGAGATTTGAAAGAAAGCTGCAGGCCAGCCGTCTGAACCAGGAGACTTGTTCGGGTTCATAGACTTGAGCGCACCGCACAGGTCTTCCGCCGTGAGAGGACTTTCCAGAGCGTCGCGCTGTTCTTGAGTGAGACGTCGAGTAATGGCTCGAATGATAGCTCGGCGACGGGCCCGATTCAACGGTGGTTGGTCTCTTGGAGTGACCATGATGTTTTTCCAATGAGACGTAAAACCAGCCTTGACTTCAGACGGGTCAGTCGACGTTACACCGTTGATTGTCACGGACGAGAGCGGCACTTTGATCCCCTTGGGTCGACGAAAAAAGTGACTGGTACCTCGCTCGTTGACGTTGGCGTGAAAGTCGAATTGCTGATCCAGGTTGAACTGTCGGTACTCGCTGCGGGCAGTGTCAAGGGCTTGACGGGCGGTATTAACAATGGATGTCTCAACGAGTCCCATGTCGAATGCTCGGCGGGAAGTAAGCCACTTCATCTTGAGGCTGTTGAGTGTGTACTTCATCGAGTCAATGTACTGGCGATGACTGACTTGGAGACGCTTCTTCATTCTCTTCAACCAGCCGTACCACTTTGCGCCAAAGTTTTGAGTGTCGTCTGCGCGCATCTCGTCCAAAAGTTGATTGGCTTCGGCCTTGATCGCTGCGACTACTTGAGGGTTCTTTAAGAGCTCACGGGGGAGGCGCCAGTAACTTCGGTCGGGAGCTCGCTGCTCGCAGGAGAGGACCACTTTGTGTTCCATGTGGTCGCCTGCAAAGCTGCTTGGGGAATAGCTTGAACGTGCGTACGTTTGAGCGACGATATCTTGGTCCACAAACAGGTAGTCGAGGCGGTTGCTTCGACCAGGGCCGCTGTAAACGCGCTCGTTGGGGTGGTGCATCCTCCACGCATCGGTAACACCAAGTGCTGAAAGCCAGGCAATGCATTCCGCCTTACCAGCGTTGTGGTCTTGGCGAGGTCGAGTCGCGTCCAGATGCTCCTCCAGGGGTAAGTTGAAATCGCCTCCGACAAAGTGAATGCTGTCGTCTTCAAAGTCGCGAGGCAGGTCGTCGAAAAACGGTGCTCGAGAGTGAGCGATAACCGGGGCATAGACGTTGTGAAAGTACACAGGAACGCCGTCCCACTGAGTTCGAACAACCATGTATCTTCCAGGTCGGTCATGGGTGGTCAAGTGTTGCAGGTCGAGGAATCCAGGCATGGATCCATGGAAATACGATGCCACACCGCAGCGCCGATTGTTGAGTGAGTCGACGCGATCAGTGCGGAGATCGTTGGTGAAAAGCTTGTATTTGCCAACGCCTACTTCGTTGTTGAGGTGGAGTTGGAAGGTTTCGAGATGTTTGATGTTATTGATTTTGGTTTCTTGAAAGAAAACGGCTTGGGTCGGAATTTGGAGTCGCCGCGCCACAAGATGTCCGTTGTCTTTCAGCCCATTGAGGTTGGCAGTGGTCAGTTCGAGTATGGGGAACTTGGTGAAGAGACCGGCCGCGACCACCTTAGCCACGGAACGCGACAGACGTTGCGTTCGCAACATCTCCCAGCATGAGTGTCTGAGTGTCGGGTTGGAACATCACTTGGTTGTCGAAGGTGGGGTCCAGGGAGCCAGCCTCATGGAATTCCAGGATCGTGGTCAAGACGTATCGCGACTTCTCGTCTTCGCCGGCATACAACGTTTCCATGATATTCCAAATCAAGAGGCCGAAGCTCGTGTCAAGCAATATGGCAGATAGCGATATGCCCGACAAACAGCGGGAGCTCAAATGAGAAGCCAGTGCAGTGACCGGGTACTTGGTAGAGGCCACGATCGCAGCATCACTGTTGTAGTACGTTGGAGCATGAATGGACAAGAGAACTTCTGCCACAGCCAACACTTCTTCCAGGTCGCCGCGGTGGAGGGAAATCTCGTCGCCGTCAATGGTAGTATCGATGAAGTCGATGTTCTTGAATAGCTCGATGTTGCTGAAGATGGCTTGAACGTGCTCGCGGGTCATACGCACACCCCACGTCAATGAGTACAGCTGGGAGAACGGTTTGTCTCCACCCCAAGTCGCTCGAAGCCACCGATGGAGGAGGCGTTGTCTCACAAAGTACTCAAAGCACGCACGGTCTTCATCAAAAAGTCGGTGCAGTTGCAAGCCAAATTCAATCGGGGAACGCTCGAGATGGCTACACAGCATGTCGACGCGGCCGTCGTTGATGAGTTGGGCAAGGTTGAACGAGCTGTTGGTCACTGCATCTTCGACTTGGGTTGAGAGATGCAATGGAACTTTGGCTGTCTTGGTGTCGAGGTCTTGTAGTTCGGCGAGAATTTCGTCAAGAGACATTTCTATGCGCTTGGGAACGCCATCTTGGATCTTGGTGCCGCCGACAAATTGACCGGACGTAGGGAGGTGGGGAGGGTCATCCGAGACGTCCAGCTTGGGTACAATCGTTGAGATCTTGTAATCGCCAAACTGAGCAACGTGTTCCTCGGGGTTGACACACACACGTTCGTCGAGGGCTTCAAACATGTTGGGCGAAATCCAAGAGCGGCCATGCTCGGGGGAATCCACTTGCTGTTGCGTCTTCTTGCGCTTGCCTCTCGACGCCTTGACGCCAGTCCACTGCGGAGGGTTGGCTTGCGCAGTTTTCCGACGTTTTGGCGCCTTGGGAGTCGAAGAAGGCGGGTTGGTTGGGCTGGGAGCTGGCTTGTTCAATCCATATTGGCGGGACGTTGCATCAAGGTCCAAACGAACCAAGTTCTTGTCACGAAAATACCACCCTTGACCGTACACGCGGAGACAACGGCCCTTGAAAAGAATTTCTTCGACGAGACGGCCGTCGCGCTGTATGGTCGTTGGTACGGAGGTTCCTTCAAAGTAAAGGCGGTACCGAGAGCTCGCCATACCGCTTGAAGAGGAAACGTTGGGGTAGGAGCCCCACAGGAAGCGTGGCTCCAACTTGGTCATGACGTCGAAGATCAGGCGCTCTTCGTCTTGATCTTGAAGGCCTTGAGGGATGTCCATGAAAAATCCGCCGAGGACGTGCGGAACGTTCATCGTGAAGTGTTGGGACGAGCCATCTCGAGCGACTTGAATCTTAAACGCGATGCCTCGCAGCTTCGTCATCGCTTCGTGAGAGGCAACACCCCACTTGAGCATGCGGTTCGGGATGTCCTTCTCGCATCTCACAATGTCAGCAATCGCAGTGTCGAGGCCGAGGGCTTGGTTGTCGAAAAGGATCGATGCCATGGCAGCTGAAACATCGATGGTCTTCGTGTGTGCACCCGTGGGCATCTGCAACCAGCCGACGATGCCGCGCGCCGAGTGCTTCTGGATCGGGAGGGTGTCTTCAAACGTGAGGGTTCCAGCAGCACGCTTGCGAAGGAGGGGTTCGAGTTCCTCCATCGTGGGCTGGTAAGGAGCAACGTCCTTGGTCTTGATGGCCTTGGCAGACTGAGACCGCTGTTGCGCTTGGAAGGCCCATACGTCGTTGGGGGCCTGGCGGTTGTTGGGTTGGCCACGGCCAGGTGTCTGGGCTCCGCCAGATTGAGAAATGTTTTCCAAATGCGATCCGGGTGAAGCCTGAGATGATGGCTGGCGGACTGAGTGAGAGTCCGAGTCGTGCGTCAGACCAACACTCAAGCGTGCGTCAGAGGCTTGGTCTTGTCCGGACCCTGTCCCATGGTGGACAGAGTCACACGTTTGACCTTCACTCGCGTTGGACTTCGAGAAGCTTCCATGGGTGACTTGGTCTTGAGTATTCCCATGACCAACACTGGCCACAGGGTTGTTCGCGATTGTTCCAGATCTTGCCCGATGATTCTTCGAGAAGAGACCATCACTCATGGAGCGACTAGTCTCGATGGGATCTTGACCTGTCGCCAGAGTGGACTTGTCGCTCGGGGGATTCTTTGAGAAGGGACCTTCACTCAGGGATGGACTGTTCTCGAATCTTCCTTGACCTGTCGTCATGTTGACGTCGGTGCTTGAGCGAGTCTTCGAGAAGCCACTATCACTCGTCGAGAGAACATTCTCGAAAGGAACAGAACCCAACGGAGTCTTGCCAGGCAAGCCACCATCACTCACGATGGACGTGGTTGATGGAGATTCTTCGGGCAAGGTCGTTGACGTCATGAGCACATCTTCCGAGGTTGGAACGCCGTCTTGCCAGGCTTCGTCGCAAGTGTCAGAGGTCGTTGGATCATTCGCGGGATCGCAAGCCTTCGTCGAGCGAGTCACAGGCAAGGGTTCAAAACGGCGCGGTTTCGAAGGGGTTGCACGTTGACGTGGAAACGGAACGCGCGTTGGAGTAGGGAGCGGATTCGTAGACGCGTCATGATGCGAAGCGTTGGAAGCATCGTCGACGTCCTCTTCCAACGACGACGCCATGTCGGTATCGCTTGGGGATGGGTCAGCAACGACGATGACGTCCATATCGCTGGGGCTGGACGCCGAGGGAGAGAACGCGGAGGAGCAAGATGGGGCACGAGGGTTGGTCGAGCGGGTAGCAACCATATTGTCAGATAGCGTAGAGTGGTACTGCGGGGTAGCTGGCAAATTGGAAACTGCCGCGATAGCTCAGTTGGGAGAGCGTCAGACTGAAGATCTGAAGGTGCCCTGACGATCATTTCAGACATTCTAATGGTCTTCAGGGTTGCTAGACATCCCAAGCAGACAAACGCAAGCGTTAGATTGCAAAAAAGTGCAGTGGTTCTCTCACAACAACACTTTGAAAATTGTTACGACGTCTCCCCCTGGGGGCGAAATCTCAAAATCGAGTGCACACTTTTTGTTCGGGAAAATTGCGCCACGGTGCCTAAAAGATTCTCCCATGTCTCCTCCTCAAGATGTGCCAGTTTGCGAGTGCTCAAACCTCGCCAAACTCGCGAAACAAAATTCGAAAGGAAATTCGACCCGGTGACACCCATTTTGAACCGGTTTCAACCCGTCACCAAAAGTGAAATTTCTCTCGACCTACTGCGTGGATTTCTACGTTTAGTGGCTTGTTATCTCAGTTGAATCGAGCTCTATGCCGACACCAACTAGCACATATTGCAGATCTATGGTTCAAAACCACGAACCCATTTTGGACTGTCACCCAAACCGGTGAAACACCAGGACAACTCGAACGCTTTCCCTACGGTCACCGAGTGACATCTAGGGGTCTAGTGGGTGGCTCCACCACTTATTACGACTAGCCAAAGCGTTAGAACGCCCTGAAACATCCTGGTTTGCTCGCAATCCTCAATCCAAAATGTCAACCGCCCCTATCCACCGGCTACAAAACCTTAAGTCGGCTACAGGTCGCAAATCATTTCCTATCGACCGGCTATGACTCTTTTCCATCCTATCATGGCTAGACGAGTGTTTTAAGCCATCAAGAGCGATGATTGAAGCCCTGGAACCTACTTGCCGTCGCCCCGACAACTTTTGGTGAAATGGCTAAAACTCATCGGAATGGCTCCTGAACGCAAATCAACTCCGATCGCCCAACTTAGAGTTGGAGAGGCTCGAGAATGTCCTCGCGATGGATTTGAGCTATCAAGCACCATGATAGCAGCACAGGAACCCAACTTCCGATTCCAAACCATTTTGAGCCGATAAGGCTCCAAAACGACCATCGTAGCTCATTTCAGCTACACGACTCTATATGCACCGATTAATATGGTGCATCCACCGCTAGCCTCCATTGATGGAGGACACCAAGTATGGCTATCTATCTCATAGCCGTTCGGAAGTTATGACTCCTTCAAATTTGGCCGCCGAGACGCCCGATTGGAAAAACCACTGGTTTTGGCTAGCGCTCTCCCGCTACACACTACCTATGGCGATTCTAATGGTGCGCTATCCTTCGTACGTATCGTCGCTACGATTCTGCCAAGTGGCTCCATGCACCGCGGCGCCGTTCGAAATCCAGCTCCGACGATGCTCGCGCTCGAGACCTATCCGCGCATGGCGCATGTCAAAATGGCACCTCCCAAATATTTTACCCTTTTTTATTATTTTTGGGAGGTTTACCCCAAAAGCCCAACCCACAAGGGATTTTCCCTCTATCTCGCCACCATCAACTCCGATGAAGACGCTCCTGAAATCAACTTTGCTTGTCATGGAACGACCGACCTCGTTGATTTTTTTGGCTGGTCAAATCGTCCAAGAACATTTTATTTTGGATGGTCTTTTCTCTCAAACCCAGCTTTTCCCATGGATCCAGCGATTTAATTCGGCCTCCTGAGGTCGAATTAAATTGGCCACGACCTTTTTGGATTTTTTGGGCTCCTACCTCTTGCCAATTTATTTTCCTTGGGCCTGATTTTACTCTGTTTCGACCCTTTTGTCAATTTTTGGCCTTCCTCTCCTGTCGATTTATTTATTCATGGATCGACCCCAACTCAAGCTTTTATTCACTTGGCCTTTTTCACTGCGTACCTCCACTTGGAATTTTTATCAAGACTTTTGTATACAAATTTTCAAGTCCTCCACAGTCAACCCGAAATTGCCTCGTATCTCGCCACCACCAACTCGGATCAAGATGGTCATGAAAAGAAAGTTGCTTGTATGGCTCTTCTCTATACTGTTGAATTTTTTCACAGCCTGAATCGCCATGCAACATTTTCTTTCTGCCATGGTTCCTCCAAATTACCCCACACCCAAGTCTATTTCGGTTAAGCAACACTGGACGATTTTCCACAAGAACCTTCCAAGGTCACATTTCGCAACACATATTTATTATGCGACCTATGAAGCCAAAATCGAAAGTCTAGTTTGCGGCCCTTTTGGGCCATATTAATTCTTTAATATACTCAGTTAACTGAAGATCTGAAGGTCACTGGTTCGATCCCGGTTCGTGGCATTGTTTTCACCACCACGCCTGCTTTTTCATTCACAACATCGCACCCTTCTTTTACACCACGGAGCGCACTTACACGCGCACACACTAACACATTGGACTTGTCCATTTCATTCACAACTCACACACCAACATAACCATGGACTGCACCTTTTACACTGCCATTCAAATTGCAAAGACAAAACACAGCATCCACGCACAGAATGCGATGCCATACATTCCTCCAAAGTCTCACGCCCAAGCTTGTCTCGCTCCTCTCTCAACGATCGAATGAAGCACAACTCATTCTCATGTCTTACTCTCGACAGCACACACAACCAAAATGGCGTCTAAGCAAGACGTTGATGTTTTCAGCGACAATACACATTACAAGGCGATGGCTTCCTTCAGGACAGCACACACTTAACAATCATACGCGGAGGAGTTCCATCATGTAGAGGCCATGCATCATATGCTGGACGTCGTATCGTGTTCTCTTCAAAGAGCTATGAATAGAAAGAACGACCCATCCAATGCATGTGAAAGTTGCACGTAATGTGGAGCAAGCATACGTTGTCCACACTGATTCAAGTTCGACGAGGAGAATACTCTATGCTCCAAAAAGTGCTCTTTTGACGACTTCTCGAGGCGAGGGACAATGACCCTCGATTTCTGTCAATATTCCGATCTCATTCGAATCCCTCCTGTGGATAGTTCTTTCAACCACACATCGTTTGCTTTCTGAGCTACAAGACTCTAGATATTACTGTAGGATGAGTTTTTATGTCATTGCTTTAAAGTATATGTCATAGCATGGGAATCGCCAGAAGAAAGGACCATGACGTGGTTAGCGAAGCATGGGCAGACGAGTGTATTCCCTGTGATGTGGAAATGAAACGGGATACTTTGTAGTATGGGATGTCAGTTAGTTGACAATAGTGTGTTTGAGTGTGCGTGTTGTTGCATAAGCTGAAGGAGGTAGTGTTCAGGGTGTATGGGAGGTGTTGTCAGGTGTGTGTATGTGTGTGGAAGAGGACGTGCGAGTGTGTGTGCATGGTCCTATGGAAGCATATACGCCGCGATAGCTCACTGCAATGGGGAGGTATATTAATAGACTTTCAATATCTACTAATACTAATATTGCCTACTAACGGCTCATCCCACTTCCAAATGCTTCAGCAGATTTTCTACTTTGGGCTTTGGAGTACAGCGATTTTTGACTTGTTGAATAAATACTTGGGGCTTGTTAATTTGGGGCTGAAGGTTGGAGCGCGAGCAAAGTCGGGTACTTGGCTACCAGTGGGCGATAGACAGGTTGTCTATGCAAAGTATTGATTGCTGAAATTGCTTCCACTCGTTGAGGGCTGTCAACTTCTTGGAGGCGAAGCCATCTGCGGATCGATGCATGCCATCGGATGAAGCTGACTTCTTGCCAAATTTCTGGCGGAGGCGGCTCCTTCGATTCGAACTTGGCGGCGTTGTGCGTTGTCCAAATATAGTGAAGGTTGGAAGCACACAGAAGAGCCCAGAGCACAAACAGTATGTCTTGAAGCTGGCTACCGCGTTCGTTGACTTGAAAGCGGTCGATGTTGGTGATGGCAGTCCAATCGAAATTGACACCGAAGCATCGCCAAGCGGTCGCGTGAAAACGCCAAAGGGGATACACGCGAGAGCAGGTGTGGAAGGCGTGGTGTTGGTTCTCCGGTGCGTCGCAATTGGTATAGACACAGCAAATTACGTCTGGCTGCTGAGGTTGCAAGTAGAACAAGCGCGAGTTGACAGGCAGCATGTTGAACAACAGTCGAAACCAAACGTCGCCATGGAGGGGAGGCGGCCAACGGCATGTTTTGCGGATGAGTCGCACGTAGGTCGCAATATCTTGTTGCTCGACGCGGGACGATGTCGCCACTGGGTGCGGTTTTCCATCCGAAGGGGCGTGATGCGCCAAACGTGATACGAGTCGCTTGGGCCAACGCTCGAAGGATAGCAATTGATCTTTGAAAAGTGCCTTGAAAGGGTGACTTGTTGTATCGATATCGGTCAAAGCAGTTCCAGTTCGAACGCCAGACGTGCGGAGGACTTGGTCGAATATCTTGGTGAGGTGGCTATAAACTTGACCAGCACGTTCGGGTGCTGCAAATCCCATCGCGCCGTTCGCTTGTAACGTCACTTGTGCCGCACGGTTGTTGGATGACAGTCGATCAATAAACGCAGCTCTTGTAGGCCATGTCCCTTGCCGTGTCAAGAAGTCTTTGAGGCAGTGGAAACCGTTTTGAGACGCATGTCTACACCATCGACGACACAGAGCAGTCTTCACGACATTTGATGTAGCACCCGCAGGACCAACTTGCAGAGCGGGGTAGGATGTCAGCCACACGGGGAGGTTCAAAAGTTCTTCGAGGCTTGGTGGCGAAGCGGTTCGCTTGGCCATAGGTGTGGCGGCCCATTGATGCCAAATGTCGTGCCAAAGAGGATGCAGCTCCCACAAAAACAACCACTTGGAGCTGTGGTTGGGGAAGTACGTGAGAAAGTCGAACGGGTGGGTGTCGCGATACAGCTTGTTCATGACACGGGAAAATTGTCTCTTGACAAGCAACTTCCATGGGGCAAATGTGTTGGGTGAATTGGGCTGCATCAAGAGTTGGAGCCGCAGCAGTCGCTGAGTCCGAAGCTTCGAAGCCACATGCGGAATACCGAGGCCGAGTTTTTGATCGAACTGCCACTTGCGGCAAATAGTTGAGCGATGATGGTCGGTGATTTGCGTCTTCCGACCAAGGATGTACTTGTTGACCATTCTTTGCCAAACGGCA